AGAGGCTCCGCCCCCAGCCCGGCCTCGCCCCGCCCCGCCCTCCTGGCTGCCTCCAGGCTCCGGCTTCCTCCAGCCAGGGCTGCACCCAGGCAGAAAGCCCAGAGCGTGGGCCACGGAACTCCCTCCTGCGTGGGTCGTGCGGAAGGCACAGGGGGGGCTGGCCACCTTTCCCTGTCCTTTCCTGTCACTTGTGGTTGGGCGGCTTAAACCCCGTGCGATATACACATACACAGATAAGCACAAAACACAGAAATACTCGTACAGTCACAGATGCACACCCGCTCTTATACAGTCACACACGGTTGCACACGAACTCACTCATATACAAACTCATACACATACACACACAAAGACACATCAAACAGATGCACATGAACATCTATGTACACACACACACAGAAACACACACGTTGAAGGCATAAAGAGCAGAACATAGTGACAGTGACAACACCTTAGTGCATGGGACTTCTTTCTTTTAAAAAAAGACATACAAGAGTCTTAGCTGTAGGTTAGAGGAGAGCTCAGAGGTCAGCTGGTGTGTATTCTCTTGTGACAGATGAGGAAACTGAAGCCTGGAGTAGGATTTACCTAATAAAGCCAAGAGTAGGAGGTCCATGGGGAGTTCTGAGCAGAATGAGTCTTTACCGCCTCCAACCCACTCCAAGTTTCTCTTGCAGCAAAGATTAGACTGCTGACAGGTCTCAGGGGCAAAGTTATAGCATTTTGGAGGGCAGAGAAAAGACATAAAATGTCTAACTTTGTTAATGAGTTGGGGAGAGGGAGAGGATGTTGGCTAAATCGCGTTCACAGAGACAAAAATGGATGGCAGAGCAGACTGGAGTCCTTACAGAATGATTTTTTTAGAAAACCATTTAGCCGCACCATGCACTTAGGGCTGTGCTTGCTACCATAACACCAGTCATATCTAAAGTTGTTTGCACTGTCACCATACCATGGGAGGCTCCAATCTGAGCCCTTTATATGCATTATTTCCTTTTAATCCTTACCACAGTCCTATGAATTGAGTGCCACTGGAAACGAGGGCTCAGGGAGGCACACAGTTAGTAAGTTGCAGAATCTGGCCTAAGACAAGACCCTGTCCTGAACCCTAACTATAGGTGTATATAGTCTAAGAGGGCAAAAAAGCCAAACACACTAGAGCTGGGAGAGAATAACTAATCATCTGCCATGTTCTGCATTATCTGTAGTACATTTGAGAACACCAGGTGAGAAGATGGGAGCAGACAACATAATCAGATGCTTAAGAGGCAGATGGCTTGGGCCTGATTTGGGGGCCTTCTGCTACTTTCTAGATGTGTTATTTTACTTCTGTTAGTTTCAATTTCCTCTCTAACAAAATGGGGATGATGACAATGCTCACTTTATAGGAAAGGCATGGGAATTAAATGAGATAATGCCTTTCCAGCACTACGCACAGTACTAACACATTGTGAAAGTGAAGAAAACGTTACATCCTACCACTGATACTCGTGCTGATAGTGCTTTGTGGGCTCTTCTCACTAGGGAAGGCTTGGTGGGGAGCTCCTTGAAGGACAGGTGGGTTGTGGCTAGGCAGAGACAAAGGGTATCATCTCTGGGCTGGAGCAATAGGATGAAAAAAAAAGAAAAAAGACAAGACAAAGAAACACAGCAGCTTTTCTGGGAAATTGTAGATATTAACAACGGTGACATTTTCTTGTTATAAAAGCATCTTTTGGGGATAGATTGCTTCAATGACATACAATTCTTATTTGTCTTCAATTTGTCAACTCAATGAAATAATTTTGTTGTTGTTGTGGAGCTTCTGTATCTGCCCAGCACATTGCAGACACATACAGAGCCAAATGTTTCCTCAAGATCATTAATCAGCCAGCGAATTGAGATTAGGGTGCATTTTCTTCATAGAACAATGTTATATTGTTGGGTTTCTGGGTCAACCTCAGAGAAGTTTTATAATGTAACTGAAATGCTGTATAGTTGCAGTAGAAAACAACATTAAAACAATGCTAGGAACGAAGTTAAACTGACCCAAAAAAGCTTAAGAAGAAATAATGTTTTTTGCAGTAAGGATGGTAAGGGCAGATTTAATTAAGGGAAGGTAATAAGATTGAAATACCAGATTCTGAAAAAGACTTCACGATTTTAAAGATTTTTATGGTTTCTTGACACTGGCTTTTTATCGTGACGACCTCATTTCAAAATGTTTGGCTTCTTTCTTCCTTCAGTACTGATATATCACTAGCCCTGCTCTAATGCTTTCCAGCCATGGCTAAGGCCATTTCGAGCGAACAAACACAATGGAAAAATGAGGATAGGAGGAGGTGATGGGGCTGGGGGCAAGAAGAAAGGTGGGAGATTTTCTGAAGATTTGGGAATAGAATTATGAAGAGGAAGGAGGTAAGGTTGGAAAGCTACATGAGTATGAGCAGGTGGTTGTCTGAATTATAATGTAAGAAGACAGAGGCAAGGGGGAGGGCAGTGCTTCCCCCAATGAAGATAAAAGTTGGTGAAGAAATCCATGGGGCCCATTTCCCACATGAGTCACCAGTACACAGAAATGGGTTGGTGGACATGAGATATGAGAAACCAGCTGTACATAATTGTATGTGTTTTTTATATATACACTCATATACATACATGTATATCTACATATCTATCTCTATATATTCTTATTGTGTTTTCAGATAAAAGGACATTTCTTCCTGTCAGGTCTTTGCAACTCAGAAAGCACACGCGTAAGTTTTATCTCGGCCACAAGAAGAATCACATTTCTTCTTCCAATCACCACCCACTCCCACTTTTGTGCAATTTCAGTCCCGTTCTCCCACCTACTTGATTTTGGGAGATTTAAACACAGGAAAAAAATCTTACCGCTTATGTGATATAAAATGTAAAATATGATTTAAAACAACTTTTATCGAGATGCCGTTAGAAATCTAGTGCTGTCTGGGAACATGTGCCAGGATGCAGCCCCGGATGCCCAAATGTCCCCGTCCTGCTCTGAGTCCTGGAGAAGGGATTTCACAGACGCAGGAAGGAACTTGGACTGTTGAGTCATCGGGGCAGATGTGCGATGACCAGAGAAAGAATGCTTAACAGCCTTCTTAAAAAAAAAAAAAAAAAAAAAAGACAAACCCTTGTTTCTTCAACTTGCTGCCTTTTCAAGGACCTAGAATGACCCTCATCCCTCCTTCTATAGGGCCCTTCTGTGATGACCTACTAGGAGGTGTCTTTTAGCTGATATAGTTTTGGATGTTTTTCTTAGTCTGAAAAACACTATCAATTCTTTCTTTCTTTTTTTTTTTTTTTTTGAAGATTAATGTTCTTGATAAAACCTTGAAGTCCTTCTTGTTGGCTCATTTTAGAAAGTCATAATAATGATTATACAAAACTCCGAGTTTTATGTCAACAGGTGCTAATAAAACTCATTTTTAGATATCAACATGCTGTATATTAATTCAGAGGTGATACCGCATAATTATGTTTAACCATGAAATCTGTTTCTCAAAGTGTGCTCCATGGACCGCTTACCTTAGGACCAAGAGGGGACTCAAAGCCAGATTCCTGAGACTCATCAACAATGGACACAATCAGAATTTAATTTCTACTTCCTACAGTTGAGACCCTGGACTCTGGACTTAAGGTAAATGCCCAGATGATTCCTACACATGGTAAAGTTTGAGAAGCAGGTCTACAGCACAAGAAATAAGAATTGCGTTGAGAGCCTAACAAAATGATTAGTTCATAATAAACATTAAAAAAAAGACAACAACCCAGTAGCCATGGACATCACTATGTGATGATGATGAACAGCAGTCAGAAATAATGTGCATTAGGGTTTGTTAACTGTTGCTTAGAAGATTTGACACCTTCGCAGGCAGAAAAATTTACATCCCTGGAGATTAAGAAAAGAATAATAAACATTTTATAATCGTACATCTTCACTCTAAAGAGAATAAATCTGCATGGTTTTGCTTTAAAAAAATCATTTGTAGTTATTTGCTATCTCTGTCAGCTTTGTCCTCCATGAGGCTACACATTAATGGAAAACAGCCTCTCTGCCTCTTGCGCCTGTCTCGCAAGCTCTGTCACCACTCACCCTAGAAAGGGGCTGCTGTTTACTAGTGGTTGACAGGACATTCCAAACATCCCCCTGCCTGCAATCTACAATCCTTTGCCAAATTCATAAGGAAAACCCTGTTTTCCTGTCCTCCGGGGAATGACAGTGGCTGGCTGGGATCCCACTGGTACAAAGGTGATGCAAATGTGGCTTCAAGAAGACAGTGATGTGGTCAGACATGGGCACCTCTCCTGCCATCACATACCAGCTAATCAAGAATCAACCAAAATTAATTTGAGTGTTTTCTTAAATCCTGTCTGGCATTTTATTTTAAAAATGGGAAGTATGTGAACAACCATGAAACAAGTTAGTTACCAACATTAATTGCAAAAAAAAAAAGCTTTTATTTCAGGAAACAATGACATATCAGAGTTTTATTAAGTCAGTGATGGCTAACAACACAAAGATGACACCAGGTTGCGAGGGAGATGTGACAACTGGCTTCCAGTTAATGTTTCTTACGTGCCAGGCACGTGGCTAGGCCTTGACTAAGTTCTTCCATGTACATAAGGTAGCATTTATTACCAGGGCTGTACGATTTTGAAGTAGTGATTCTAGTTGAGTCTTGATGAGAATGTAAATATCCTATATGAGAAAGCTTTCCATATCTTTGCTTGTTTGCCTTCATAAAAGTCCCATAGCATTTTGTTTAAGCTGCTAGAATAGCATTCATTATGGCATATGCCTTGGATCTGCTTGATCAGCATACATATTTA